TTCAGATTCATGCTTTTTCTAGCAAATGTCATAAAGTCATTCTTTTTATGGCTGAGTAATATTCCATTGTGTATATTATACCACTTTTTTTTTTTTAACCCATTTATCTGTTGGGGAAACCTAGGTTGGCTTCATAGCTTAGCTATTGTGAATTGTGCTGCTATAAACATTGATGTGACTGCATCATTGTAGTATGTTGATTTTAAATCCTTTGGATTTATATTGAGGAGTGGGGTACCTGGATAATATGTTGATTCCATTCCACATTTTTTGAGGACTCGCCATACTACTTTCCAGAACGGTTACACTAATTTACAGTCCCACCAAAAATGTTGTATGAGTGTACCCTTTTCCTCACATCCTCACCAACATTCAATGTTACTTATGTTCTTGATAATTATCTTTCAGACTAGAGAGAGATGAAATCTCAGTGTAGTTTTAATTTGAATTTTTCTTATTCCTAGGGATGTTGAACAGTTTTTCATATATCTCTTGATAATATTTCTTCTTTTGAGAAGTGTCTGATTAGTGCCAATTTATTGATTGGGTCTTTTTTTGTTGTTGTTAATTTTTTTTAAACGTTTTCTATTGCATTTTTCCTTCCAGGATCACTAAATTCATCCAAACCATCCACCTGCAAACCTTTCTTTTTCTTTTTTCTTTTCCTTTTTCTTTTTCTTTTTTGAGGGCCTACCCAACTATTTATGGACACTGAAATTTGAATTTCATATATGATTTTCACATGTCATATAACATTGTATTTTTTAATTTTTTCCCAACCTTTTTAAAAATTTTTATTCTTCTTAGTTATATATGATAGTAGAATATAATGTGACTTATTTATACAAGCATGGGATACATCTTATTCTAATTAGGGTCTTAGTCTTGTGATTTTTAGAGGATGTGGAGATTCACTGTGGTGTATTCATAAATGTACATAAGAGAATTATGTGAGAATCATTCTACTGTCTTTCTTATCCTCACTCCCTTCTTTCCATTCCCCTTTGTCTAATTTACTGAACTTCTGTTCATACCCCACCCTTGTTGTATGTTAACATGCACCTATCAGAACAGTCAACCTTTGGTTTTGGGGGATTGGCATATTTCACTTAGTATAATAATCTCCAGATTCATTCTGTTTCTGGTAAATGTCATAAAGTCATTCTTTTTTTGGCTGAGTAATATTCCATTGTGTATATATACCATATTTTATTTATCCATTCATCTGTTGAAGGGCACTGAGGTTGGTTGCATAGCTTCGCTATTGTGAACTGAGCTGCTATAAACATTTCTGTGGCTGGGTCACTGTTGTATGCTGCTTTTAACTCCTTTGGATATATACGGAGGAATTGGATAACTGGATCAAATGGTTTTCCATTCCAGGTATTTTGAGGACTCTCCATACTGTTTTCCAGAGTGGTTGTACCAATTTGCAGCCCATTAGCAATGTATGAATGTAAATTTTCCCCCACATCCTCACCAATGTGTATTGTTATTGGTATTCTTGATTGTTGCCATTCTTGACTGGAGTGAGATGAACTCTCTTGAGTGTAGTTTTAATATGAACTTCTTTAATTGCCAGAGATTTTGAACATTTTTTCATACATTTGCTGACCAATGCTATTTATTTTGTGAAGTGTTTTTTAGTTCCTCTGCTCATTTATTAATTGGGTTGTTGTTTTTTTTTTTGGCCGGGGGGGAGGGGGTATGTGTTACATTTTTGAGCTCTTTGTATGTCCTGGATATTAATGCCCTATTTGCAGAGCAGGTAGCAAAGAGTTTCTCCCATTCTGTAGGTTCTTTCTTCACGCTTTCAATTGTTTCCTTTGCTGTGAGGGAGCTTTTTAATTTTATGCCATTTCATTTATTGATTTTTTTAGTTTTACTTCTTGTGCTTTAGGAATCTTATTAAGGAAGTCAGTTCCTGAGCCAACATGTTTGAGTGTTGGGCCGGCATTTTCTTCTAGCAGGTGAAGGGTTTCTGGTCTAATGTCTAGGTTTTTGATCCACTTTGAGTTGAGTTTTGTGCAATTTTATTATACTACATAGGGATCTCCAGTTTTCCCAGTATGATTTGTTAAAGAGGCTATCTTTTTTATAACATGTGTTTTTGGAACCTTTGTTTAGTATGAGATAACTGTATTTATATGGGCTTATCTCTGTGTCTTCTGTTTCCTTGGTCTTCCTGCCCATTTTATTGCTAGTACCAGGCTGTTTTTGTTACTATATCTCTGTAATATAATTTAAGTCTGGTTTCGTGATTCCTCCTGCTTCGGTTTGCACTCCAGCATTGCTTTGACTATTCTGTTTCTTATTTTTCTAAATGAATTTAATGGCTGCTTTTTATATTTCTGTGAAGAACATCATTGAAATTTTGATGGGAATTGCATTGGATCTGTATAGCACTTTTGGTAGTATGGCCATTTTTATGTTAATATTTTGATAATATTAATCCTGTTTATCCAAGAACATGGGAGGTCATTATATCTTCTGAGGTCTTGTTCAGTTTCTTTTTTAGTGTTCTTAATTTTCATTGTAGAGGTCCTTTGCCTCTTTATTAGATTGATTCCCAAGTGTGATTTTGTTGTTGTTATGGCCGTTGTGAATGGGATTGTTTTCTTAATTTCTCTTTCAGCTGATTAATCATTGGAGTATAGGAACATGATTGATTTATGGGTGTTGATTTTGTATCCTGCTACTTTGCTGAATTCGTTTATGAGCTCTAGAAGTCTTCTAATGGAGTTTTTTTTGGGTCTTCTAATTATAGTGTCATGCCATCAGCAAATACATGTAATTTGAGTTCTTCTTATTTGTATCCCTTTAATTTCCTTCTCTTGTCTAAATGCTCTGGCAGAGTTTTAAGAACTGTATTGAATAGGAGTGGTGAAAGTGGGCATCCTTGTCCTGTTCCTGTTTTTAGAGGAAATACTTTGTTTTCCCAATTCAGAATAATGTTGGCCTTCACTTTCTACATATGACCTTTACAATGTTGAAGTAAGTTCCTTCTATCCCTAGTTTTTCTAGTGTTTTAAACATGAATGGGTATTCTACTTCATCAAATGTTTATGTGATTCTTATCTTGAAGTCTAGTCATGTGGTGATTACATTTATTGATCTCCTTATGTTGAACCAACCTTGCATTCCTGGGATGAATCCCAATTGATCATGGTGCACTTTTTTAAAAAATGTGTTTTTGTATGCAGTTTGCCAGTATTTTATGAAGAATTTTTGCATCTACGTTCATCAAGAATATTGATCTGAAGTTTTTTCTCCTCGATGTGTCTTTGTCTGATTTTGGTATCAGGGTGATACTGCCTTTGTATAATGTGTTTGACAGAGTTCCCTCTTTTCTATTTCATGGAATAACTTGAAGAAGATTAGTATTAGTTCCTTGAAGATCTGGTAGAACTCAGCCAAGAAACCATTTAATTGTTGGAAGGTTTTTGATGGCTGCTTCAATTTCTATAAAAGAAATTGGTCCGTTTAAATTTTCTATGTCCTCCTGGTTCTACTTGGGTAGGTTCTATGTCTAGGAGAATTTGTCCATATCATTAAGCTATTTTAGCTCATTGGAATATAGATTTTCAAAATAATTTCATGTTGCCCTTTTGATTTCAGTAGTGTGTTCGATGATATTTCCTTTTGCATCTCTGATTTTGATAATTTGAGTTTTTCTCTCTTATAGTTAGTTTGGCTAAGGGCTTACCAATTTTGTTTATCCTTTCAAAAAAAAAAAACCAACAACTCTGTTTCATTAATCTTTTGTGTTACTTTTTTAAATTTCAGTTTCGTTGATTTTGGCTCTTATTTTAATAAGTTCCTGTCTTCTTCCTGATTTTGGTTTTGGTTTGTTCTTTTTCTAAGCCCTTGAAATGTAATGTTAGTTTATTTATATGGTATCTTTCCATTCTTTTAATGTATGAGTTCAGTGCTGTGAACTTTCCTCTTAGAACTGTCTTCATAATGTCCCACAGACTTTGATACATTGTATTATTATAGTTCTCATTTACCTCTCAGTATTTTTAAAAATTTCTTCCCTGATTTTTTCTGCTCTCCATTCATCATTCAAAAATATACTCTTTAACTCCAGGTGTTAAAGTGGTTTCTATTTTTTATCTTATTGTTGATTTCTAATTTCATTCCATTATGATCTGATAGAATGCAAGGTATTATCTCTCTCTCTCTCTCTCTCTCTCTCGTCTCTCTCTCTCTTCTCTTTGTATTTGCTTAGATTTGCTTTGTGTTAAAATATAGTCTATTTTAGAAAATGCTCCATGTGCTGCTGAGAAGAAAGTGAATTCAGTTGTTGATTGATGAAATACTCTAAATGTCTGTTGATGTCTGTTAGGTCAGAATTATTTATTGTATTTTTTAGTTCTAAAGAATCTTTACTTTGTTTTTGTTTGAATCATCTATCCAGTGATGAGAGAGGGGTGTTAAAGTCACCCACTATTATTGTACTGTAGTCTGTTTGATTCTTAATTTTGAGAATGGTTTGATGTATATAGATACTCCATTGTTTGGGGCATAAGTATTTATGACATTTATATCTTGTTGATGTATGGTTCCCTTAAGCAGCATGAAATGATCTTTTCTCTTCTGATTAATTTTAGCTTGAAGTCTACTTTATCTGATATGAGAATGGTAACCTCTACTTGTTTGCGAGATCCAGGTGAGTGGTATGTTTTTTCCCATCCTTTCACCTTCAATCTGTGTATGTCTTTGCCTATGAGGTGAGTCTCTTGCAGAGAGCATATTTTGGGGGCTTATTTTTAAATCCAGTCTTTCAGCCTATGTCTTTTGATTGAAAGTTTAGACCATTTACATTCAGTGTTATTATTGAGAGATGATTTTTAATTCCTGCCAGTTTGATTTATTTCTAGTGTTTAAATTGGATTTGATTCTCCTTTGACTACTAGTATAATGCCTTTATGCATGTTTTCATTTTTATTTTTCATTTCTTCTTCATGAAATATTTTATTGAGTGTTTTATAGTGTAGGCTTTCTAGTTATGAAATCTTTTAGCTTTTGTTTATCATGGAAGGTTCTTATTTCACCTTCATCTTTTAAGCTTAATTTTCTTAGTATTCTTGGTTGGCATCCACTGTCTTCCAGAGTTTGGTATATATTATTCCAAGCCCTCTTAGTGTCTGGATTGAGAAAGCAGTTGAAATCCAGATTGGTTTACTTGTAAAATATGCCTAGTTTCAGATCTTAAAATTCTTACCTTATTTTATGAGTTAGGCATTTGCATAACAATGTCTTGGAGTGGATCTGATTTTTGCGTAATTGAAGTCCTATATTTAAATTTCCATTTCATTATTATGGTTTGGGAAATTTTCTGATATTATTTCATTGAAAAGATTATGCTTTCCTTTAGAATGTGTTTTCAGAGCCTTTGTCTATCCCAATGAATCTTAAATTTGGCCTATTAATATTATCCCAGATTTCTTGAATAGTCTGTTTATGGTCTCTTAACATCTTTTCTCTATGTTCATCTATATTTTCAAGATTATATACTGTGTCTTCAAGGCCAGAAAAGTCTGTCTTCAAAGTGGTCTAATCTATTAGTGATGCTTGCCATTGAATTTTTAATTTGATATATTGATTCCTTCATTTCAAGGATTTTGTTTGATTCTTTTTTAGAATCTCTCTTTATTGAAGTGATCTTGCACTTCCTATATTTTCTTTCTGATTTCACTTATATCATCTTTTAGCTCATAGAACAATTTATGAGTTTTCTAAATTCCTTTTCTGATACTCCCTTCACTGTGGTGTCAGTGGAATCTGTTGTTGAGGTATTCTTTGTTGTTTGGGATGGTTTGTTCCTTTGCTTTTTCATATTGTTTGTATGTCTGCCCACCTACCAGTATAGTTCTGACTTTTTAAGTGATAGACTACTAAGTGAATTTCTTTTTCTTAAGAGCCTTGGGGTGGGTGGAACTAGATAATGGTATTTTAATTCAATTTGTGACCTCTTCTCATCCCAGTATCAGCTCCACTATAAGAAATACCATTGGAGCCCTATTTACTATAATCACTTCTGAGCCAGGCCTTGTATTCAATATTGTAAGAACAAAAACTTGTTTCAGTTGTTTTCTTTGGGTCCTCAAATTCAGGTATAAGCCTACAATAAGAGTTCTGGGACAAGTCAAACAATCTAGTAGTTAAATTTAGTAAACTTACTAAAACCTTAAGTGAGTATTAAGGGTGGGGAGGAAAAAAGTTTTGGCAAATGGAGAAGGGAAAAAGAAGGAAAGAAAGAGAGGGTGAAAGAGAAAGGAGAGAGAAGAAATAGATGAATGGGTGGTATTTGAGGCCCTAGTGGATAGTGTAAGAGGATGAGTAGGGGGTAAGAAAAGCAGGTATAAACTAGAGCTAGGGAAACAAAAATAGGGAGATTGTTTCCAGTTAATGCTTTAAACCACTAAATGAAATACTTTCAGGTGGATTGGAGGTACAACTTTGGCTATTGAGTTACAATTACCATTCAAGTTAAGGAGTTATTTATACGATCTAAGTTGACATTAGAGTTGTTTATAATCTTGGAGGATACAATGTTATGAGTTGGCTGATTCTATTGTAGCCTATTACAGAATTCAAGATTCAAGATGCCCCTTATTTGGGAGTCACTGGTGTACCTGTTCCCCTCTGCTAGATTCTTCTCATGGTAGGGAAGATCCTGGCAGCTGTCTGTGTGTGCAGGAACACTGGTTGTTGGTTTTCCACAGGTGTTCTGTAGTTCAGTAGTATTTCCCTGGCTGCCTCCACTCTAAGGTGCTTTAGTGCAGGGTCTCTGGTGATTCAACTGGATCCTATAGTTTCCACTGTCCCAGGTTGTGAATGGTGGGTGTTAATTCCCTTTGCTTAATAGGTCTGGTGCATTGTCCTACAAATATCCAAATAATGCCATGTCACTTGCCAGTTGCACTGTTTGGCTATACACTTACTAAGGCTGGCGTCCAGCCCTTTCTGCTGAGAAGCTTCTAGCAATTTCCTGTTGTCTGTATGTCACTGGATATTCAGGCAGTTTGCCTCCTAGTATGGTGCTGCAATCCTGAGTACTGTCTCTAGGCTTCCTGCGGTGTCTTCCTCCAGTGCCAATGGCTGGCCTGGTGAATCAGCTTTCCTTTGGGGCCAAAGTTGCTTCTATTGTAACCTGTTTGAGTCAAGCAAGCCTGTGCAGAGCTTTTCACCCTTGCCTGGGTGGCAGAGGCTAAGCAGAGCTAGATGTGCTCTTTCCAGGCCAAGGTCCCCATCAGCCCACTCTGTCCCTATGTTCACAGTGAGAGGGACAGGGAGGTCTTTCTAGCCATATTCTTAAGAGGGCCCACTGCAGGGGGCTTCCCTTGGGTTTAATTTGCAGCTCTGGGTGTGGGGAGAGCTTCTGCCAATTTAAGAGGGTGACTGGTTGCCTGCGGGTTCCACAAGATTGTTGCTTCCCCTCCCCTTTGTTTTTGTGGTTCATGCTGTTTTAAGTCACCTTCTTGTAATTTAAATTTTGTCTGTCTTTTCAACAGTTTTCCAATAGTTTTTAAATGGGTGTTGTAGGACCAGATGAGGTCAGACACCAAAGAATTAGCAAGAAGCAGATTTATTTGGCTGCAGCCATATTCAGAGGGAAAAACTTTCACTGTAGTCAATCAATCCCCCTGAACCCAGAGTTCAGGCAGTTTCAGAACTTTATATCCAGTGTGTAGGGGGAGGGACTCAGAAGTTCACAGTCTGCAGAAGTTCACACAAAAATAGCTTTTTCTTCTACTGTTCTGGACAAGTTAACTCTTCAAGGACAGCGCTGAGAAGGGGAGAGCTTCTTCTCCCTTTTTTCCCTCCCCCTGCCAGTTATCATGGAGCCTAATTAGTAACATCTTCTCTTTGAAAGGTAAACATTTCTGTGAAGCTCCAGCCCAAGGTCAGAGGCTTCCTTAAAGATTAATCTCTGTTTCTTCTCACACTTTGCATTGGCAAACACACTTCCCACTTGAAAACTTTTACAAACTATTCTATATTTTTACAACACTAGATAGTCAATAAATGTGAAAAACTAGTAAAAGTGTTCAGCACCTGGAGTGCTGATCTCTTCTAGGCAAGTGGCCAAGTAAGATAGAGCAACAGGAAATAGGAAGCTTAACTTCCTTAAACTCTTTTGTAGAGATTCTTTTGCTGATGGTCCTAAGATAATTGTGTGGATTTCTGGAAAGGCTTAATTAAGATTTTCTGTGGAGGAGGGGATGCTACTATATGAGCTTGAGAAAATGTCTGCTTTCCCTTCTCTCTGATGTCCCCTGTCCCCAAGTTTGAGTTAGAGCACTCTTAAGTTTTATTTTCTCCTCTGGTAACCTATCTTCTAGTCTCTCCAGGTGTCAGACTATGTAGTGTCAAGTCTTAGAGCATTTATTTTGTCTCCCTGCTCTCAATTCTGCTTTTATTCACTGCCTCTTTTCCATGTTATGAAGAGATCTGGACGTGTTATCTGTTTCACTTCCACGTCTTCCCTGTTTCTCTTCTGTGTACCCCACAAATTTTAATGTGTGTGTGGTTTTTTCCCCCATTAATTTAATCCCAGCTGTCACCTTTAGTCATTTTCTGTTCATAATTTATGGTTCCAGTTCAGATATATTTAGTTTTGTCACTTTTAAAAGCTTGTAACACATAGCTTTTTTAACCTTTAATTTTTATTTTCTATATTTTTTGGTGCTGGTGATCAAATGTTTTATAAACTTTGGTTGTTCTGGTGGTTTAAGTTCTTTGCGTTATTTATTTTTCTTGTCTGTGTCCACAGTTTTCTTATCAGATATCAAGACATAAAATGCAAATAATTAAAACACTTTGACATTGAAATTGGGTTGAAAATAGACAATGGGAAGAATAAAGTGCCTGGAACCATCCATCCTCTGCATATATGAATACTCACGAATGACACAATACCACTGCAGACCACTAAGGGTAGGACTGGGCTTCAGTTAATTGTACCCAGGTAATCAGATTTACATATGAAAAAAATTATGTTAGATGCCTTCTTCAAACTGAACAAAAATCCATTCCAGGATGAATAAAGTCCTTTGTGTAAAAGGTAACACTTATAAAATATGAAATAAGAGCATATTTTCCATGATTTGGAAAAGAGAAAGATTAAGACATAGTATTGAGCATGAAGAAAGGGACCAATCAGTTCTGCTACATTGTTTGAGAACTTATGTATGTAAGAAAGTGTCCTAAGGAAATTGACACAAGAAGCCTGGAACTAGGTGAAGGTATTTCAAGCATATAACTGAGAAAGGCCTTTTATCAAGAATGTGGAAAGAACAAATCAACTAGAAAAAAAACTTTTAAAAAAAGGGGAAACTTGCCTGTAATCCCAGTGGCTGCTGAGGCTGTGCAGGAGGATCACAAGTTTAGAGCTAGCCTCTGCAAAGAAGGATGGGGGGGGGGGATGATTGAGAGGTGGAGAAATAAACAGGAAAAAGGCCCAAGAAGCTCATTAGTATTTAGAGGAAGTACTAATTAAAACAGAGATATTATTGTACTACTTCTTAAAGTCTCTCAGTTCCAAGAGTTGGTGTTACCATTGGAAACTAATTTTGTATCACCTAATAAAATGAAATGTGTGCTTATCCTGGAACCAGAAGTCAACTCTTCAGTTTTCTAGAAAATTGTTAAAAACCCTAAAGTGTAAGCAAATGTCTATAGGATATGTCTGCCAGGATGTTCAGAGTAGCACTTTTCATCATAGCCCCAAATTGGAAACAACCTAAATCCTGCAACAGTATATTATATTTATAAAAAACTGTGGTATAGGGGCTGAGGTTGTGGCTCAGCAGTTGAATGCTCGCCTAGTACGTTCAAGGACCTGGGTTCTATCCTTAGCACCACATAAAAATAAATAAAATAAAGGTATTGTGTCCAACTGCAAGTAAATATTAAAAAGAAACTGGTATAATCATTTACAGGAATACTATTCCACAAGAATAATTCATGAACTACAGTCACAGACAAATGCACATGCAATCATAAAAATCAAATGAAAGAAGCAAACCATTGGAAGGATTTGTGTGCTGTGTGGTTTTTTTTTTTGTTTTTTTTTTTGTATGAAGTTCAGTAAGAGGCAAGACCAAAAAATATCACTGGAATCATTACCTAGGTTGTGAAGCTATAAAGAAAAGAAAGGCAGTGGTTTTCAAAAATGTTTGGTTAATGAAGCTACCTTGCATGTGTGATATGAGATGATGTTTGGGGATGTTATCTTATGTTATGTTTCGAAATGTGTTATCCCCCAAAAGCTCATGTGTGAGGCAATGTGAGAATGTTCAGAGGTAAAATGATTAAATTATGAGAGCTGTACCCTAATCAGTGAATTAATCCACTTGAATGGATTAACTGGGTGGTAACTATAAGTAGGTAGGATATAGCTGGAGGAATAGATTACTGGGAGCATGCCTTTGTGGTTTATATTTTGTCCCTGGTGGATAGAGCTCTTCCTGCTTCCTGGATATCATGTCCTGAGATGCTTTCCTCTGCCCTGTACTTACACTATTATGTTCTGCCTCATTTGGGGCCCAGACCTATGGAGTTGGCCAACCATGGACTGAACCTCTGAAACTGTGAGCCAAAACAGACTTTTCCCCTCTAATTTGTACTTGTTGAGTATGTTGTTCACAGCAACACAAAGCTGACTAAAACAAGGAGGAATTTTAAGGCACTCTCAATTAGTAATGATTGCACTGATGTTCATTCTTTTTCAAAGTGTATGTCTATACTTAATATTACATGATAAATTTCACAAGATGAATTCTCTGTACATTTCTACACCAGATAATCTATAATTTTGATAAAGTGATTGCTTAAAAAAAAAAGATAAAATAACCAAAATGAGATCAAAAGGAAAGGCCTGAATTGATCACTTTGGAAATGATGTCAGCTAACTCCTTTTATACGTGATTTCTATCAAGGAATCTGGACTTTTTTTTTTTCTTCTTCAGTATTTACAAAACTGTTGGAAGCCACCATCTGATCATTGCTAGAATCTCAAAATTAACATGTTGGAAACCACTATTTTAATCTTTCTGTTTTTCCTGTGTTGCTTGGTATTTGATTTATGATCACCATTGAACTTTATTTTATCATATTTTCATTTCCCTCATGTTCCCAGGCTCTTCATTCTCTACTCCCCAGTCTCTTATCCACAGGACCTTCTGCCCTTTTCCAGTGTAAAACAGAAGCTGCTGAACATGAATTCTTAAATGCTTTTTCCATTGCATATAGAAGATTGCTTCTACTTTTAAAAAAGAAAATGTGTTATAAATATTAACACTTTTATCACCCTTTTGGCTTTCAAGCCAGTATGGTTTTTATCGCTATGCACTACAAACTTCATACTCTTATAATATACTTTTCCAAATTTTCCTTCTTTCCCTAATGGCTGTTGCTATGCATTTCTTCCTCCCTCCCTCATTTCTTTATTCCTTCTTTTCCCTTTGAAAATAAAAGCAAGCTTAAATGTAGGTCATCCCTAAGGTACCCTCTCCTTAGCCTGCATCTTTCATCTTACCAATTCATATGTAAAACGATAATGTACATGACATGGTAAGTATGTTTTCTCCTTGAGTTAATAATATCACTAGTCTTCCTGGCATATACATAATTTCTTTAATTTTAGCTTCTTTTTTATTGCTAGTATTCAGTTGGTTTAGCAACTCTTATTGATTGTTTTCAATACTTCTCAAGTCTTTCTTCATTTCCATTGACCTGGCCAGTTTCACTTGCCTTTTGTATTCCTCAGATGGTTCTCCAGTCTGGTACAAAAATAAATTTATCCTACCATTCTAACCTTATTTCCAGCAGAATTTTTTGTGAAACCTTGTTTGCCCAGCAAAATAGATTGGTAACTTTTTTTATAATTGCTGGTTTTGCCTCTATACCTTCTACTTTTTATACCTTCATCCCCTTCTCCTCTCCCCTCTTACTCTTCTACATATTGAATCTCACAAAGAATGATAATAAGCCAAAGTTATGTTTTTCAGACTAAATTCTTAGCCTCATAGAATTTTGAGAATTGCATATTTTGAGCATTTTGCTAAGCTTTGTTTTTTCCATGCCTTAAAATAAATTGCCTACTTTTTGTGTTCTTTGGGGTTAGGATCTTACTTCCGCTTTAGAGCTGCAACACTATATATATGAATTAATGGAAAACATCGAACACAACACACATTTTCTTTTTGACTCCTCTGGCTTTGTGGGGGGCATCTAAAACCTATAAGTTTTAGAGATTTCACTCATAACTTTACATTCCAAGACCATAGTTTTATGAATGAGAAAAATGTGCTCCAGAATTTGAGTGAATTAATTTTATCACACTATTTAAGTAATTTGTGGCTTGTAAAATTTTCAAACTTCACTTTCTCACTTTTAAAAGCAACAAGGTTTATTTGAGTACTTTGTAGAATTTTAATCCTTTTTAGAGGATTTAAGAGTTGAATTTAAGTCTTCTGTATTTCCTCAGGACCTCTAGCTTCTTCAGTTTGCCATCATCCCTACAGGGAGCAAGGTTCTAGGTAATCTGGGGTTTCCACAACCCTTACTGTACTGGCTGTGAGTCCCCAAACATGTAGCCCCTCTGTAAACTCACTCTGCTAGTCCCATTTCCCTTTTCTCCCACTAGCAACTGACTTCTTGTTTTGTTTTACATTCTGCAGCCTTCTTCAGACCTTTTTGTTGGTGGGGAATCTTATTTCCTATAATGTCTTTTACAAACTTAAATGTAGTCTAGTGGTTGCATTGTTTTAAGAAAAATATAAGTCGGAATCAGTTATCCATAAAATCTGAATTCTCAAATTTGTCATCATTTTATCCTCATCTCTCAACAACACCCTCTTAGTTCTTTACTGCCTTTTATGGATTATAATTCCTATTCCCAAAAACATATTTCTTATTATTGTTTTCACAGAGGAAATTGGGACAATAAGGATATTTTTCTTAAAAGAATTTAAACTCATTCACTTCTCATACCCACTAGATGGCTCAAGTGCACCACTTTAGCAACTCAGATTGACATTTGCCTGTTTCACCTGTGGTTTCTGCTGAGCGTTGATTCCTTTTAAATTGTCTGATGAGCCCTTCTGTGAACCATTATTCCAGTGCTTTACATATATGCTGTGGAAAATTTTCTCACATTTTCTGACCATTTATAAACTTCTGAAAAGCAGGTGAAATGTTCTTCATATCAAAAGTTAAGACAGTAATTAGCATACTGTGAAGTGGTTGTTTTTTGTTGTTGTTATTGTTGTTTTAGGGTACTAGGGATTGAACTCAGGGCTTGGCACTGCTAGGTAAGCACTCTGCCACTGAGCTACATCCCCAACCCAGAATTCTTAAAAGATTTCCTTTCAAAGACTGTTTTGGACTTAAATTCAGCTGCCAGTAATAGAGTCCCTCATAGTAAGCATACAATTAATAACTCATGCTTTTCTTACTCAGTCATTTTGAGCCATGTTCTAGGATATGATATTATTCTAGGAGTTTTGAGGCACCATGGACTGTTTCCTTTTGTTCAGCAATAGTATTTATTGTGTTTATATACTTGGCACTGAACTAGGCAGTGGGAGGAAATACCTGAATGAACAAACAAGACATGTTTAGAGTAGAAACCCCACTGCATTAATTTTTTCCTTGTGTTTGAGGCCGTAGTATTGAGTAGGATGAAATGACTAATGCAGGTTGTGCTTGTAACCATCCTTGAGGAGTGTTGACATTGTCCCTGTTGATAAAAACTTTTAAACTATATTCTTTGTTTGGGGGAGTAATGGGGATTGAACTTAGGGGCACTCAACCACTGAGCCACATCCCCAGCCCTGTTTTGTATTTTATTTAGAGACAGGGTCTCACTGGGTTGCTTAGCACCTCACTTTTGCTGAGGCTGGCTTTGAACTTGTGATTCTCCTGTCCCAGCCTCCCAGGCCTCTGGGATTACAGGCATGCACC